CTCTCGGGGCTGACTTTATCGGGAGGGCCACGGCGGGCTCGCAGCTGGGCTGGCAGGAACCGGGAGATGCAGAGGTGGTCTCTATGGTTAGTGTAGAAACCTGTCTGGGGAGAGCTTCCTGAAACTTTCTTCTTTGCTGTCTGAGAGGGCTTCTCCGACAGATGCGTGCGCAGAGCGCGTCTTGGAGCTGTGGCGATGACTGGCGATTTAATCAAGTACTAAATTTGTTTCCCCATGAAATGGAATTTCCTCGGGTGTGAGTCGAGCTGGTCTGTAAATGCGGATCTGTGCAGCCTGAGGGGCAGAGGCTCTTTTAAAAACCAAATTTAAAAATTAGCAACTGCTCTGATACTCAAAAGGATTGGAAAAATACCTTGTAGAAATGTCAAGTATCAAAAGGGATTGTCAAAAAACCAACAACCTGATCACAAATCATTTATGAAGAAATAAGAGCAGAGTGGATACATTTAGCAGTCCTTAACAATGAGCTGTATAACCACTGCCAGCTTGCGAACACGACTGAGGGCAGAATTTGGACCCCTGTGGTCTGTCTTCATTATCTTACCTGCATCAGTCACTGAGAGAAAAAAAGTTACAAACAAGTTTATGCTGGTACCAAAGTCCCCAGTGAAAACTGCTGAGACATCGAAGTCAAGTTCAAAGAAAAGTGGCAAACAGAGGCAACAAGTGCATTTGGTCAGGAAATTGGACTTTTGTTTGATTTAAGACATTAGCCTGGTGATTGAAAGACGTGGCCAGGGCTTTTCCTTGGCCACCCAAGAAAAATGCCGCTGTTGCTCCTGAACAATATCTGGGCTATTGACTGACTCGACCCATGGTAGGGAACAAGAAGAGGGGCAAGATGCAGACCAGTGTCTCAAAATGATTAACTTCCTGAAATGAAATTTTTTCAATATGCTCTTTTTAAAAAACAAAACCAACCCCCCCCCCCCCCCCAAAAAAAACCAACAAACAAAAACCCCAAACATTTTAAACACGTTTCTAGGAACAAGGTTTTCATTCTGTTCTTGGCCACCACCCCATCTCAAAACAAGGTGAGGTATAAATACAATTAAATGTGGCAGGAGTAAGGTAAGGGGAGGTGATGATTACGATGCTCCAGTCACAACCCTACAGAAACACCCTTTGCTTATGTGCCTGACCATGTGGGTTTGAGGGAGGGTTGGTAGCCGTTGACTTAGTTGGCTTGGATAGGGATCAAGATTCTAAATACTGAGAAAAAACCCTTTTCTTCTGACTTTTTTGAAGGATCACTCTGTGCTACAGAATATTCAGGGCTGCGCTCTATGCTTTACTCTCATCAGACTTGTTATTTTGGCTCCTAACTACACATTCTGGCTCTTTCATTCAAGCTGTAATGTTTTTTTCCCAAATCATTCCAAGCTCTGGCACTTTTTCAGTTTAGGCTGACAGCTGTCACATAGGTCAAACCTGTGGGATTTGAACCCCCTGTGACTCTCTGCACAGAGTATGCTTTACTGAGGAGAGCTGCAGAATTACAGGGTCTAGCTGGGAAACACCTCACGATCTGGCATTTTCCTTTATTTTTGCCCTGGCTCCTTTGCCTCTTCATTTTTAATTAGTGGCACATGCTGAAATGATAATTTAAATTCTTTTCAGAAATCAAAAGAATTCCCACTGAAAACATTATTAAGTTATAATTACAGTGAAGAAAAAGGTTAATGGGAATTTGAGCCAAATACCTACTCTCCATTAAATGAGAACTTGACGGAACCTGTTTTCCCTTCATTTCCGTAGGTTACTCTAGGTTTAAAAGGGTCCAGGATGGTTTTACACCTGTGCAAAGAGCCACAGAGTGCAAGACCAAATAGCCATTGCCAAGACCATCTACATGGACCTGTCTCAGGACAGGCCTCGCCTGACCGATGCTCAAGATGGAATTTGACAGACAGGTAGGACTTCTCTTGGATCTCTGAAAGAAGGATGTGCATTTCAGCCAGGAAGCGGAACATGGTCGCGTGGGGACACCTCTGTGAGAATGACATGTAGGAGGTGGCACTTGGTTGCAAAGGAAACTTAGCACGTATTGGTGGGGGAAAATTAATCGGGTTCCCATGCATTCACAGCACTCAGACAAAGCCTCTTCCTTGCCTCACAGTGAGCACCACACGCATGCAGGAACACATGCGAATCAGCCTCAGACCAGGGAGTGTTTGCGTTGTCAATGAAAGGAGAGAGGGTCAAAAGAAACATTTTCCTCTGTGTTAGCTCTAAGTGTGCCCATCAGCAAGGCAGCTATTGAGAGGGTTTTGCATGTTAAAAATGGGTTTTAAAGCAACTGAAGGTGTAGGGGAAAAGAAGCCATTCCTTGTGCTGGGCACCTGCAGGCCGAGCCACCATGTTTCCCGGTGCTGCTTGGCACTGGGCGCTGCATCGTGATCTCTTTAAACTCAGCCACGCGTGGTGCAGCTACAGCTGGAGCCCTGCAAGGCCAGAGCTTTGCCTCGAAGGCCTGTTGTAAGCTTGGTGTTTCTTTTTCCCTTTTCTGTTTGGTTTTTTTTTTTTTTTCCTTTTAAGCTCTAAGGCGTTGCTTAAGCTGTGGCATGCCTCAAAGGCAGACCTTTCCCTCTTCCCAAGTTGCACACCATCGCGTCCCGCAGCACCCCCTCACATCTTGCACAAGTGTTTCTATGGCCTGAGCCCGCAGCCTTTGCACAGGCAAGTGCTCCCGCAGACTTCCCCTTCTCTGTCATCCATACCCAGCGCCGGCTACGGCCTGTGGCAACCGCTGCAAAAATACCTCGGGGCTGGCCCCTCAGCATTTGGTGAGAGCCTGAACCGCACATGCGGGGCAGATGGGAAACGGGCAAAACCTGCTGCAGGCACCAGAAGGGACCTTGCAGAAGGTGGAAAAGGCCTTTTTGCTCCTCCTTTTCTGTGCACAGCATGGTAAGAGGGCCAGTGCTTGGCTTGGGCTGGGAGGACTGGGTGGGCTGGTGGGGAAGGAGTAAAATGGACTGGAAGGAGCTTCTGAGGGGCTCTAGGCACATATGGGGTGGCTGCACAAGCTTGGAAATTAGAATTATTTCCTTCACCGAGCTGAAGTCTGCTCTCAAGAATATCAGCCTGACTTCGAAGCACTTGCATCAACTTACATTTCAGCAAACAATTTATTTTCAAGCTACTAAATCAAATGCAATTCTTTTCCTGGCAGGTTGTACCTTTTTTCTGTGACTTTGTTGGCAATTGCTTTTACTTTCTAGCATTCCTGGGGCTGAAATGTCCTCAGCGCTTATGCTGCAGAAGGCTCTGCAGGTCTGCCCAATTATCTGCTGTGTAGTGTTAAGGCACCAGGTTTCAAAGTATTTTCTCACCCCTGGTTTCTCAAGACAAGCGTGAAGATACCTGTTCTACAGTGTAGGAACTCCAGAACATTTTGCTCTTATTCAGTTGGTTCCTGATCTGCTGGTCTCAGATGAAGAAATAAATCATCCAGTATTTTGGGAGAACAGCAGTTTTGCACAAAAGGCACAGCAAGCCTCCCCTCAACTGAGGCTGCCCTGGTGTCTGGTGTCACTGGAGATGTGCCCCGAGTCCACAGTCTGCTCAACACTTTGTGCTGGGCTCCTTCCACTTCCTTACAATCAGTGAGGATGTTGAGGCTACCTATGGTGTGCTAAACTCTACTCCTTGCTTATCTAAGCGTGCTGGAAAAAGACTTCTTGGCTTGATTGTTGCCTATAACACCACCACCAAAACACTAAAGACAAACAAGATCAGGAGACTGTGCAGGTTTAAGTAAAAAAGAACACACTTTTATTTATCTACAAGGCAGTACATTGTCGTATAAAAAAATTAAGTGCAGGTGAAGCTGCACCAAATGCTATTAAGGCAGCAAAGTCAGAGGCTGTTATAAAAAAAAAACCAAACAATAAAAAAATAAAATAAAATCAGTGTTTTGCCATATCGATAAAGATTTGGTATGGCAGTACAAAGAACCATATATTTCTAAAAACCTGATTCGGTACACAAGACCCAAGTTAGGGAACAATTATCTAGACATGGAACAAAACAGACAACATGAACAAGACAGTGTTCTCCCAAACATGTGAAGGTGCAATGCATGCTGTTACAAACCAATGAGAAACAAAACAACACATCCAGACAAAAAAAAAAAAAAATCTCCCAGGAAGAGTGTTCAAAAATATTGCTTATAAAAAAAAGGGGAAAAAAATATAAATGATGTAAAAAAATTTAAAGTAAAAAGGTCTGAAATGCTAGTGCATAGTCAATTAGCTAACGTCAACATTTGTTTTCTTTCCATATAAAGCTCTACTGCTCCTTTTACACTAGCAGCATGTCTACACGCTAAGGTCTGTAGCAGCAAAACACAGTATTCATTTGGCATTTACAAAATTAAATTACTGAATAAAAATATAATTTTTCTCATAAATCTATGTTTCATACAGTAACATTTTTTAAAGCAAGCTAATTACCCCCTCCCCTCCCCCCCAAAACAGAAACACACAATGTATACTGGTCTAGAACCATAACAGAGCGAAAGATTATTTCAAGAGGCATGGATGTTTGAGCGTTCACAATCTTGATCAGTTTTCCCCTTTGCACAGACTAGCGTTTGTAGTAATGCTTTTCACTTCAGTATTTTACACCTATGAATTTTGTTCAGTGATTTAAAATATATCTGTTTGAGTACCTGCTCGTTTATTATTAAAAAACATTTTAAAAGAAACAAACAAAACCCCACCCCTGGCTAGCACATCACTGACATAACAATACTGGTGTATAACGTCTGCTTGATCTCAGAAAGTACAAAAAAATTATCTTTATTATAAGTCTGCACTGAAGATCATTAATCACTGATTCAAACTTAATACCTAATAATTTAGGCAAGTATCATGTATTATATTAAAAAAATCCTCTTAAGTTGGTTGAAATCCAACAAGAATATATATGCTGAGTGACTAAATGCACTTTGTGCTGCTCCCAACTGTTGTACCACAACAAAGATAGGCTCTTCTCCCATTCATGAAAAGTTTTCATGCCGAGGAACAGGAATTTCCCAGCAGAGGTGAAGTGTTCTCAAAACCATAATGCTTCTCTGTCCGTCGACCCTTTCACATCACCAGAGTCCGGGTGGGGAAGGTGGCCATGTACTTGCGCGCCTGATCCGTCAGGGCCATCTGGTCCTCGATCTTCCCGCAGGACGCGGACTCCCAGGGGTTGTTCAGGTGCTAAATGAGAAAGAGGCAGAGAGATCTGGGGTGAACATCACGCCACTTACCCGTATCCCCAGCCGAAGCCGGGCCCGCTGGAGGTTGTGTGTCGCATGGACACGCAGTAGGATGTTGTCCCACCTCCAGAAAAGTTGGAATGTCAACACAACGGGCAAACACCATCACTCCCACTTCTCAGTTCAGGGGTTGTTCAGGTGCTAAATGAGAAAGAGGCAGAGAGATCTGGGGTGAACATCACGCCACTTACCCGTATCCCCAGCCGAAGCCGGGCCCGCTGGAGGTTGTGTGTCGCATGGACACGCAGTAGGATGTTGTCCCACCTCCAGAAAAGTTGGAATGTCAACACAACGGGCAAACACCATCACTCCCACTTCTCAGTTAGCGGAGGGACGGGGAGACCAGACAACCCGCCGAAGGGCACACCACGAGAGCCAGGATATAAACCTTCCCACTCCTCTCTCAAACAGCCACGGCCGTACCTACAGCCTTCCCTTTAATCCTTCCTCTCCGTGAAAGGACTAAGAAGAGAACTGATTTGCAGGCGGACGTCACAGTCACCACGGCCCAGAATTACAATGGCCAGTGCTATGACCACGCACAAATTACTGCCAAACCATCACTCTAGAAACACAGCTGCTCTGCCCCTGCTCGTTCCCTAAACGACCCCAACAGCCTTGACGGCCTGACCGCAGCGAACGAGACGTCCCGCGCCTGAAGCCGCTCTCACCTGCGCGCAGCGATTAGGATGTGCCCGCTAGCAGAGCCCCTCTGGCAGAGGAGGAGAGAGGGTGGGAGGGGACGGCTCTCAGCAGAAACAGCATTTTAATTATCGTATAAGCCATTTCACTTCTTGTGGTATTTATGGAGGTTACAGACACCATTCAGTATAATGTTAGAGTGAGATAAACATATCTGCAGAGGGCTGTGCCCACTGTATTTATTTACTCACTACACATGTGAGATGTTTCTCATTGCCTTGAGCTATAAACAGTAATGAAATTTCAAAGCTCCTGGAATTTACCAGTATGCATACACATTTACACAGCTTAGATTTTTTTTTTCTATTGAACTCTTTCACTTAGTGCATCTGCTTTTCACGCTGAGATACTCCCTGATTAAAATCTTTATTATTATACGAGGCTAGTTGTATGAATACCCTGCACTACAAACTGCACAAGACTCTCCTTAACGGAAAGCTGCCTGCCAGGGAGGAGATCCCAGTACTGCTGAGGACTGAGAAGGTCTGCGTCCAAGATGCACCAACAAAGACAAGTCAGGAGAAAGCCTTCTCTATTTTCATCTGCTTTCAACAAGGATCATCTTTGGAGTTCAAGACCTACATTGCTCAACAGGATGGCCAAAGCCTTCCAAACATCCAGGACACTGGGTGAAGCGTAATTTAGCGGACTGCAAACCATCTGCTAAGAGCAGAACTGTCCCAGCATGCCCATGGCTCTTTATGCTGCTCCCTAGTTGCTAACTGTGCAAGAGGAGCCTTAGATGACTCTCTTCCCTAAATGTTTAGAGAATGCTCTTCTGACTGTAAACAGTGTTATCTGAGACATATGGATAGCAAAAAGCTGGGCAACATATGAAATACAGATAATTTCTCATAACATGGCCTAATCAGGGCACCAGTACAAACAGGGACCGAGGTTCCCTGCCTTGGAGGGCTCAGTCTAAAAGGCACAAAACCACTAAGTGTGCAGCATGGACAAGATGAGAGCAAACATGTCACTCCTCTGTAAACTTCTGCTGGGCCTCCCTAGACATGGCTTTCTCTTCTCTGCAGACAAGTTCCAAATGTCGTGTCGGCTCCTGATGCCTTTTGACAGGCAAAACTCCTGCTGAGCTCCAGGAGCTCTCCCGTGTGAAGGAGAACCAGGTCAGGCCTCAAATCATGAAGCTTCTGCATCTTTTTGTGGGAAAGCTGCATCTGTGAAGTGAACAAACGTGCCGTACACCTCTATTCTAGAGCGCTTCAGCCGGGGCTGGCTGTATACCTTGTGCTGTGGCTCAGCCTAGGGCACAGGCCGCAGCCAAAAAGCAGGTGTGACATACTTTCTGCACGCCACAGACAGGCATGCGACACGCCACAGCTCCTTTTATGTTTGGGTTCAACAGCTTCCAGGGTAACTTTTTCAAAGGCACCTACATCAGCTGGGAACCTACAGATCATCGATGGGACTCCGGCACCTGCGAATATTTTACCCTATTATTTCAAAAGTATTTGCATCAGGGACCAAATTACTGCCTGGTGCAATGCCACCGGACTTACTTAAGAGTCAGATTTGGTCTGTACACCTCAAAAGCAGTTGGTAGTTCCAGAATATCCATCATTTCAAAGGACAAAAATATGTGTCCAACCAGTATTTCCCCGTGGTCTCCCAAAGCTCAAATGTACTGCTCTAGAAAAGTGAGATCAGCCGTCCCCTAAATAACTGAAAACATGTAAGGAAAAGTCCATCTGTCACTGTATGTCAATTTTTAAAAAACAGAAGTAACTTCAGGCAAGGAGTGTCCCGATTTCATAAATTAGGCTTAATTGTTGGTACCTACACTGAGCTCTTTGTATTAACAGCCATGTGCTTAGAAAAGAAAAAAATAATAAATCTGTATCCTGATATCTCCAACATCTCAGCAGGCTGCTACATGTCACTCATTCCGCTGAAAGCCTGGTCTTCGTTTAACCTGATGTCAGTGCAGCAGAATCCGCTCGGGCAGGCAGTAACCCTCTGCCCTCCCTCCGGGTTTGCCTGCCCCAGAGCCCCAGGGAAGCTCTGGGCAGCCGGCACGGCCAACGACAGGGGGATCGGCCCGACCCCTGACTCCAGCCTGCTTGGAACAATCTGCCCGAGTCTGGCCGTAGAGACAGAGCAGGAGAATCTCCCCACAGAATTTTGACCCTCGTATTATTTTCCCAGAAATACAGTACACTTTTCTTCCCCCTCTTATGACAAATTTACAGGAGAATACTAACTTTGCAATCTCACTGATGGTGGTGAGAGCTTTGGTCTAGTAAATACAGCAGAATTCAGTCCAAAATACTGCATTTTCTAAAGTAGCGTATTTACTGAGGCAGTTTTCAGTTCTGTCCTGGGGAACTCAGATAAAGTGGGTATTTTTAACAAACCTTTTCTGTCTGGAGCCTCGGGTCTCGGCAGCCAGCTGAAACACAGCGCAATGCCTCTGCCTTGCCAGCTCCGCGCCCCAGCACCGGAGGCACGTGTGAAAGTCATCCCGACGTGACAAGTTTTACTTCCCTCCTTGGCAGGAAGCGTGGGGTGCCACGACCCTGGCAGAGCCTTGCCGGGTCTGGGCACACACAGCTATGGGATCCCATAGGGAAAAGCGCAACACCTCCTTCCACGCCAGCATCGCAACCAGTGTCGGCAGGGCTCTGTCACAGCACGGCGGCAGTGCCCCACGGAAAGCAGCACTTAGCAAAGGTGTCAACAAAGAGAGACGAGCAGAAAGCTAGAGGCATGCAGGAAAACAGCACTGACACCCAAGTCAGGGCAATCCTTTTGCAGAATGCACATTTAAAGGTCCAACTCTGCAAATCAAGGGATGGTAAAACAAAAGCTTTGTAACTAGAAGCCAAAAGGCCTGACTCAAAACCCACCAAAACTGATGGGCATGTTTTCATTGATTTAGTGATGAAATTCAGCCATCTACATGAAATTCAGCTACTTAAATTTAGCCATCTAAGAGTGAGGTGTACGTTTTGGCACCTAAATCCCTAGCCTGTGGGGAAAGAAAGGGATTTCCGCAGTACGATTCATTCCATATATATTTTTTCTTACTGCCTCAGAGAGCGGGAGACTACTCTTAGTTTTGCTGTCAATTAAAAGAATTTGCCTTTTCAGCCAGTGCTTCCAGCTGTCTTTTATGCACACAGCAGTTTTCTCTCCGTAAGTTAAAACAGAGAGTCAGGGGGAAGAAGAAAGTATACTACTATGAGTTCCCACAGGATAAAATTACAGACCCATGGTACAATTCCAGCTACGTCATTCTGCCTGGCTCTTTTTTTTCTTTTTTCAGCCTCAGTAATCCTACCAGCACATCCTTCTCCTGGCAGCAAAACCACCTCACTTACCCTGTAACTTCAACTGCCCTCAGGCAGATGCGAACTGTAAACAAACTGTCAAAGCCATAACTGGGATATCCAGTTGAAGCACTTTAAATAAAAACTTGGACCATCTAGAGAAAACAGACTAGAGGATGGAAAGAAAAGACTGTGGAAAAGGTGCTTTTCTAACAGAACTAGTCCTTCTGCACTCAGAGCCTGGACTGCCTTTTCACGTGCACCTGCAGTACCGCGCTCTTAAACAGACAGGACTGTAGTACAAATCTTTGGGCAGAGAACTGTGTTAGAAGACAGATTTTAAATCTCCACTGTACTGGGATCCAGCAAAGTTATTGGTGTTACATACATTCCCATTAATTTAGCCAAGTTGTGCGGGCATTCACAACCAAAAAAAGCCAAAATGTTTAATATATTCAGAAGGCTCAGACTATTAGAAGGCATCTTACAGTGTCTATTGACTGCAAAAAGCTGGATTTCTTGCCAGCTTTCCCTTAGATTACACAGTACAGATAATTCACAGAACATGCCACTGAAAAGTCTTACAGCAGAATTGCTGTACTCCTTCAGAAACAGTAAAACAATCAACGCCCTAAACATTGCAATTTTCTAGCAGAATACTATGCGTATCGTGTAGAATAGTATGGCTTTCTGTTCTGTAAGGATGCAGAACCAAGAGAAGCCCTTTTTCTTATCAAGACCAGGCAGTAAAGACTAATGAAAAGCTCAAGTGAACATAAATGAATTCTACTTCATTTGCTAAGGCAGAGCACTGTTCCTGCTCATGTTGCTAGTTCTCCTCTGGGGCATGGGACAGCCTTCTTCTAAACTCTGGGGCTCCCCCGGTTGCTCAGAAAGACAGCTTGCTAAATGGGAGAGAGTAAGATGGTCCAACTTTTCAGCTTTTATTATAAGCCAGATACCAGAGCTAGAAAGAGCTATTCGGTGGCACTTTTAAGAGCTTAACCCTGAAGCCCTTACTCAGACAAAACTCCTGTTTGAGATGTCTGAGCTTTCCAAGTAAGATCAATGGGGGAGATACAGAAATGGGCTAAGCACCTGCAGCTCGTGTTAGGAAATCCAGTCCCTCTCTAGTTTTGTCCCTAAGTAACTTTTTTTTATTCAGGGATCAGAACACATTGCTGCAAGTAGTTAAAGTGGCACTTTCCTTCTTTCTAAGAACCCAGCGCCTGCTTGGGGCAGCTGTAACTCCTGTTCTGTCTGCAGCCTAAATCCTGCTGCCCTGGGAGGAAAACATGCGCTGAACTGAGCTGTAACTTCCAGCCTCCCTCAGCTGAGCCAGGCACAGCTCCTGTAACACGTCAGCCACCAGCCAGAGAAGGGACAGCCCAAGCAAGGGAAACCCGCAGGGCTACCTTCCCTGGCTGCGCAAATCTTAAACCTCCTGGGGCTTGAGCGCACAGTGCTTCCCCCTCTCCCTGGAGTAAACAGCGCGTGAGGTTTTAGGATCTTCTTGCCCCGAAAAAGCCATGGAGGAAAACCAGAGAAAGTGGCTGCTGCCTCGCCTATGCCTTTTCTCTTACAGCTAGCCGCAAATGAAATTTCACTTTTTTAAACCGAAAAAATGAAGGTTAATGACAGCTCACACTCTTGAAAAGGTTAACCAAGTAACTGTTTTAAAATCCTTTAAACTTGCTCTTTAAAAAAAAATGGTTACATAAACCGCTGAAAGTCAGGAAATTCGAGCTGAAACGTGTCAGTCTGTGGTTAAAAAATGGAAAGTGACAGGAGCTAGGGGTTGAAGAACATTCTCTTTAGCTTGCAGGGCTTCTACCTTGTGTTGTTTCCTTTGTTACTGGGGGAAGAAGATATCAAAGCAGCGCTATTTTCTTAAAAGGTTCCATTTCATGGTGTCTTTTGATAGCCTGCAGGGTTTGGTGGATGGCCTATGATTTAGCCTACTTTTCTGTCTGTTAAAAAGTCTATGTCAGGATAGTTTGTATTATGTACTGCTACAGAACGTAATGTGAAATAGAACATAACTTTTACATAGGAAGGGCCATAACCAGAGTTTTCTATATAACCCCTTACAAGACACTACTCAAGCAAATGCTCAGTACAGGTCATCAGTTTGCCTCAATAAGGGTTTCATGTTATCCCCAAACCTTCCCCCTTGGAAACATTCCCAGTGAGGCCAAAATCTCCCTGCCCCACAACTGCATATTGCTTGACTGTCAAAAATATAGGGCGCAAAAATATAGTTTGTAACTAACTCCACCCATGTAAAGCAGAAGCATTTGGGATCCCTGCAATGGAGTATAAGAGTAATTCCACCCCAAGGCAACATGTGGGTTTGATGAGACATCTCCTGTTTCTGCCTGGAAGAGGGTAGCCGGTGCACAAAAGTGAGATTTGCCATGCAGGACAAAAAAGCTGACTGAGCCTTCACACAGCTGCCTTTACATCCAGCATTTTAAAAGGATTTAACCAGGGGATCAAATCAGGATGAAGCCCAAACTCTCCTCGGGCCTAAGGGGGCTTTTTCTCCCATTGCTCTAGTGCAACACTGATACCACCACATTCTCAGTGCACTTCTATGCACCTACCTGACCTCACACACCAAATGATGCAATATGCTATTCCTCCTAAGTGATGGTGAATCATATGATGCTATCTCATATGGTCATCACCTATTACTTACTAAGTTGCGTATGATCAGTCATGTATCCAAAATGCAGTAAAAAATATCCTTAGAGATTGCTTTGAAGATTTGTCGCTCTTGCTTTCCTTGGAATTTAACAGCAAAACAGTAAGCAATCAGGCATTTTGATGAGTTTACTGCTAGCCAAATATCTTTTTCTTTATGTAAATGCAGCACAAATTATTAAAGCAATGAGAAATACTGTGGGCTGGTAAACATACTACCTCCCTCTCATGTAAGTTCAAATTTAAAAGACAATGGAATTCTAAGAACCAAGCATATAAAAGAAGTTTAGCGTTCTCTTTCCTTCTCTCTTCCCTCTCCCCGCGCACATCCTAAGGTGCAGAGGGTGCTACAAATCTTACTTGGACTGAAGTCAGTGAGAATTTCCCTAAGTAAGAACAGTTGGATCAGGCCCAAAATATTAACAGCAGCAATGTAAACACATGCAGACACAATTAAATTTCACCCAGGTGCGTCGCCGTGTGTCTCATGTCTACCTGCGTGCAATCAATGGCTTCAGTCCAGTGTTTGTGTGGGCGTCCACGTACGTGGGCCATATACCAAATCATAAACCAGAAAGCACGAGAACATGCTAAAAAATGGTCACGTACAAAATGCTACCCATCAGAATCAAGCACAAACATTAGCATTTCCAAGCGCTTTGCACCCTTTAGACGTGCTGTGTCCTCATCACAGACGTCCTGCTCCACTGGGATGGAGGGGGAAAAGCATTAGGGCAGAGAGCAGCGGTTTCTGGCAGGAAAGAAAGCAGGACCACGTGTCCTTCCTGAGCTGTACGGGGCCAAACTCCCCTCTGACGTGAGGCCAGGCTGCCTCACCAGAGGAGGAAGCCGATTCCTCCTTTTATCCATGACACTAAGGCCAATTCAGAGCGCACCGCGATCGGCAGACAATACGGCATTGCTATAAAATGCCTGTATTTCATTCTGAAAAGGCTGCGGATGCCACCGTCAGACACCTCTGACCTCATTCTCCGTTTACGACATTTCAGCTGAAACACTCATCGGCAGAGAGAATCATTTTACCTTCATACTCGTTCACCAAGAAGCTGCATAGTAAAAAATCATTCTTGGGCTTTTCACAACTGCTTTTTCTTTCAGTTCAACACATTTTAAACACTGAGATGAGTGGGAAGTCATTTTTAACTCAGTTCCTACTTAAGGAAAAGTCCTTTTTACCCAAACAATGAGAATACCTGACTTTTAACATGCAAAATGAAATGCTTTTCCTGAGCAAGGTCTGAAGAACGGGATCCAGTATGGCCCACACATTGGCTCGTGTAAACTTCCTGAACAAAATCAGCATGAGTGAGGAGAGGAGGTTAAACAAGCCCTTTCATTTACAGCAGCTTGTAAAGAAATTATTTTTAGACAGCAGGAAACATAACACTGTTACGCTAAAGATGAAAAGATCCTATTTTTACAGGCACCTCAGATGTTTTGTTTTTATTGCAGGCAGAGTGCAGGCAACTACCACTAACACACTTTGTTCAGCTACCTGAAAACGTTGCCCTAAGTCTGCAGAGGAGCCTGGAGCTTGGCCAGGGGGCACGGCCGGGCATCGGTGTGCTGGCAAGGCAGAGGGGCTGAGCATGTGGGGACCAGCAGCCTCCTCCCCAGTGCCACGCATCCAGCTCCAGCGACCCTCTGCCGAGCTGGAGCCCTGGGCTCCTTGACCACGAGACAGGCTGAATTCGGTCCCCAGCTAACTGCCCTAACCCAAGGGCAGGGGGGAGACAGGGGATCTTCAATCCCTCCTCTTAGCCATCTACCATGGTGCAGCTAAGAAACACGGCTTGTGAGAAAAGAGCAAATAAGGAATAGGGAGTGTGTGTCTCAGGCCCCTTGGGACATCCCCAGGCAGAGGGGAGACACAGTCCCTGCTCTCCAAAGCTGCTTTTCATCAAGTGATTCTGCAGTGCAAAATAGAAACCTACCCCGTGGCAAACTGTGCCAAACAGGGACTTGTGTGAAATTTTAATCTCTCGCTCTATAATTCCTGGCTAGAGGTGCTTAACCAAAACCAGGTTGTCTTCATTCCTTCCTACTGTAAATAACCCCTAATGTAAATTCTGGAAAGAGGGAGGAAAGAAGGGATTAGCCATGTGGACTATCTGTCTGAAAGTCAGGAACTACGGAGTTACAATTTCCTTTCTGACAGTGACTCACCCTGGGGAATGACACACTTTCCCTCAATTTGCCCGTGTGGAGAAGGGATATAAAATCACTTATTCATCTACCTCAAAAATACGGGCTGTGGTGGAAGGATAATTGATCATTACCTACACTGCGTTCTGTTCTCTGAATGGCTCGCTGTGGGCCCGACCTCAAGTCCACAGGAGTTGACAAAGAGCCTGATAATGACTTCGGTGAGCTTTGGATCAGGCCCTATGCAACAGCTGTATTTTAAAGTATAGCAAATCTGTATTTTGCTTAACACTTGGAAAAATCATAAATACGTAAAACTCAATCTCACATCTGGTTTACATTACAAAAAATCACACATTTAATTCAGTTCACAGACCCCAAGACACACAACTGGTTGTAAGGGTTATGAGGTCCCTTCGGACCAGCAGTTACGACTGCATTTCCAGTGCAAACTCAGCCTGCGGTCAGGGAAGGGCCATCCTGGTCCTTGGCTGGACAGGCAACACAGTGCCGGCCAGGCAGGCACTGCAGGAGTCTATCCTCTTGCCCTAAGGCCAGTGACCAGTTCTAGCCACCACCACACCATCCAACTCTCCTGCTCTCCAAAGAAGCACGGCCACCTACAAGAATTCTATAGGAAAAGCCTCTGGTCCGCATTAATAATTCCTCCTACCTATTTAACACTGGAGCCAGCTGAGTGTCAAAGCCCCACGGAAAAGGCTTTGCCCTGCATTGCTTCCTGGCCCAGCTGTAGCCACTGTGTCCTTATGCTCCACAGGTACAGCGAGAACCTCGACCACGTTCATCTGAACTTTTCATTCTCCCACACTCAAAGCTTAAAACCAATTTGTGAGAAAGCAACATATACATGTATTATTATATACAAAGGGTATGTTTATCAAAGAATGGTTACCTGAAGAGGACTAGCTAGTGGCCTGTTCCTAGGTACTGCAAATGTTTTGTGAAAACTACCATCCTCTTCAGACACAGGCATCTTTAAAATGGAGCTGGTAAGAAGATTCTGACCAGGAAAAGAAAAAAAAAAACCACAGTGTTCAGTCACTCAAGAGAACAACCTGAATTCGAACATATTAAAAGCAAACTCAGCCTGACTGTAGAGGGTGCAACACTGGGCACAGACACAGACAGAGTGCTCAACCTGGGAGCAGACCTCAGCCTTAGGTCCCTGGGACTTGGCTTTGCAGGAGCATTGTCACGTGCAAAGGTTTTTCGTACAGTGAAGCTCCCAAGTGCAAGAATAAGAGTAATACTGAGTAGTCCTGCTGCAGCAAAGGGAGCCATGCTCATGCAAGGTCTCCTTTGCACACAACAAAACAGACTCTCTTTCTTTTGCCAGCTTTATCTCTGTGACCTAGTCATTCCTATACACAGGTGCAGACACCCTCCAAGTGCAGGCTCTTTACGAAGACTGTGTGCTGCACAATGACTTCTGCTACCTTCTAATCATTGCAGTGATCTAATTAAGAGCGGGGGTTTGCTTCTTATGCTTAATACAAGAAAATGATACAGAAATAATGAATAATGCCTGCTTGTGAGGAAGGTCAGACAAAGTATTCTCTCTCTTGCATTTAAGAACTGAACAGGGATGAAAACCAGAAAGATTATTTGGCGGTGTGAAAACTGGCACTTACTGGCACATCTTCCATAGCAGGTGCATGTGTAAAGAGCTGAGTGTTCAGGTTTTCTCCTTCCCAGTGATTCGAGCAAAAAAAATTTCCAGCTTTATCTGTTGGAGACTCCACCTGAAAGCAGGAAAGGTATGATGATAAAAAACCGTACCTAACTGAGCAGAAGGAGATTTATCTGTCAGTTGCTTAATAAATTGAATAAATACTCTTCACAGCCATACATAATGCATGTTTAGAGTGCCGTCACCCTTGCTCTTGGCAGAAGAAAGAAGTTCACAGTTCTCAAAAAATCACCACCTAACAAAACTTTGAATACTTGCACTCAGCGCTCCGTCAGTATTCAGGAGTTTAATCCCCTTGAAAGGATTGAGAATATATGTATTTTTAGAACTTCAGTAACAAAGTAATATAATGCAACGTCCTCAAATGTTCAGGTTTCTAAGTCACTCCATGGAGCTCGGTCCCCGTGGGGTTCTTCTATAGTCTTCACCAATATTAGAAAGATTCAATCCAAATTCCTGTCTAATTTTTTTTTCTTTTTAAGTTTCAAACGAAAACTGCATTAGAACGGCCCAAGCAAACCCCTGCTGAAAACAGCAGAAAGACTTCTATGGAAATCAATAGGAGATGAATTAGGCATGCCTAGTATACTATATAGAACCGACACTAAGATCTTGGGGCTCACATGAAAGAAAAACAGACACAGCTGTTTAACAGAAAAGGTATTGGCATAAGTTTCTCAGCAAAGAGTGCTGAATTAAATTGCCTCAGGTAAGTTTGAGATTTACCTCTTGTTTGATTTTCTTCAGCAAAGGGGGTCCACTTTCATGTAGCCCAGCCACTATTGCCGATTCCTCCGACTCCTGCTTGATAACGTCCTGCAGATCTTCTACAAGATGAGTCGGAGTTTGAGGCTGAAAGGAAGAAACATTATATCCAAGTCCCAGAACATCCCTCTGCACTAATATCAAAGCAACTTTTACCATTGTTTCCTTCTTACCAGCATCTTCAAAGGACCATATTTGATTTCCTGAGCTGCGAGTGCGTTTTTGAATGGAGTGGGTGTTCTTGGAGAGCTCTCTAATATCGACCTCTTGATTGCTGGAGTTCTGAAACTTTAAAAAGAGGGAGAAAAACTTTAAAGGAACATGCTTGGAAATACTACCGCTTTACAAAAGGATGTCCATACAGGCAGTGGCTGTTGTAAGACTTGGACAAGTATTTTCCTGCAATCCTATAATCCATTTTGCTTTTCTGGCAGAACATCTATTTAACTGTGATGAGGTGGAATGGCTTTATTTAAAAAGCTGGTGAGTCTATGTGCATGATTGATTGTTCTGCATTAATAACCTACCTCTCCACAGTTATAAAGTGGAAGTTTTACTCCAACCTAAGCCAAATCTGAAGGTGTTAGTAAGCAACCCTGCGGGAAGCGCACAGCGGCCCAACACTTCGGTTGCGCGCAAACCTGAAGAAATGGACCCTCGTGAATCAGACAAGACAATGTGGCAACAGACTTACGCATGATTCTCCTTCTGAGCTTTGAAGGTCTGGTCCCTGTGGAATGGCGTGGTAACAGCCATCTTATGGCCACACACTGGCGTGGAAGTTAGTGCAGGGTTGTCCAGGTTCAGGTTTTCGTGACTGGATGAGGTGTTTAAGAACTGCAGGTAGGGGCAGGAAACATCAACAGGAACACCCAGATTACAAGGTTGACTTCTTAAGTTGACGTTATTGAACAAAAGAAAAAGAAATTATTTCCTTCTGATTGACATAAGTGATTCTCCTGACCCTCCGACGTGGGTAGGTGTATGTGGGTTACCTGACTACGTGACAAAACAATACTCAACGCTTTGGCTGGAGCACTCAGGAAGCCAAAATGAACATTTCTGGAGAGGGAAGTAATACAGAAAATGACACTCTGTTCCAATAAGAAACACTCTAAGAGCCAAATCTTAAAAGCCTGATTTGGTTTTTCTGCAAATAAATTTTAACTAATATTAAGAGCAGTGTGCCCAAGTGAGAACTGGGGGAAAACGCGTAAGGGATGTTTCAGGTATAAACCCACAGGGAATGGGGCTAAATTCCACAAAGATTTATATGGGGAATCAATGTGCATTTAAGGTAGTAAATAAAGTGCTTATGACAGGAAAATAAATTTCCTATCATCTCTCTCAAAACAAAAAGTGCTCCATTTTCACAGCATCAAATGAAAACTGCCACCTGTGATGGGTGTGCCGAGTCCTTTGGAATGGAAACAGCTGACCGAAAAGGAGGCGGCAGTATTATTTTGGAGAAAATTGCTTTTTTTGCATGAGTTCTACCTAGTAACCTAAAATACTGTTTCCATTTCTAGTGTCTACAAATCTGTGAGTGTAGCGATATCCTTCATTCTGACCACAATTCACTGTATTACCTTCTAGACTCAACTTGCATCGGATTAAAATATGCTTTATAAAAATACGGCAGAAAAGAAAATATGGATTTCACTGGATAAATGAGATATGACTTAAACACCTACTAGGTAAGGGGAGATACAGTGGGAGAGCATTATTACATGCAATCTTTTACTACCCTTCATGAAATAGTGTTTCTCTGACATCAAGGACTAAAGCCAAACCAAAGCAAAACCAACACAAACAGACAAACAAAACAAACCAAAACACTTTTAAATAGTGCTACAGCTGTGAAACAAAGCAACCATCGACAGGAATTTGGAAGTGCACAACAGGCCATTTTCCTCCTCATTCCTATTCCGCTCCACCCCATATGGCCAGGGGTGAGGATGGCGAGCCGTGATTTGAATTTTCTGGTTGTTGTCAGTTTGTCTCACAACCTGAATGCTATTTAAATGCAGTTTGGGGTTTTCTAGGTCAATGAATCATACTGTAAGTGGACAGAGATGGAAACTATTACAAATGATCAGAAATGTTAAAATCTAGTAGTTGAAGGAGTTTAGAGCAAGGGCAAAGCAAGCAGTCGTATTCCCCTACAGAAATGATCCAAATAAAAAAAAAACCCACAACCCCAAAACCAAGCCCCGCAAATGAATTTAAAAGGAGAGAATCAAAAATTAGCTTGCTGATGATCTAAACTCAGCAGTGAAGACTAAGAGCAGTGAAAAGATTCAAACACGGAGTGAAATCAACAAGCGCAACGGTAATTAGTCATTTTTTCCAAAGGATTAGTTTCTAAATTGTTAAGGCTGGGGTGACTTTTGAGAATTAGTAACATCTGTGCAGAAGTCTTGATCTACCTGCGAGGGAGAGAAGGGCAGGCTTTTGACAGGGGAGCGCTTAGGAGGAGTTGAGCTGCTGACGTCAGCTAGGAGCAAGGCGCTACCGTGGCCACTGGCTAAGGGGCTGGAGAGCCCCCTCCTTTTGCGAAGAAGGACCCACGGAGCCGCGCTGCCCTGTGAGGCAGATAAGGACTTTGGTGAGCCAGGAGAGCCCTGACTCGACATGATTTTGCTCAAGTGTACGATGGGGCGTTCTTGATGTCTACAAGCACTGGCCCCTCTTTGCTGAAGCTGCGTGACTTTGCCTGAGGGAGCTTTGCTAGCCGAGGTGTCTGTGTCTTCAAAGAATTCAAAACTGCTGAGATCACCCCATGATGAAGGATCCTGAAACAACGTGGGAGGCACGGAGCTATAAGACAGTGTACAGTGCCACCTCATGAAAATACAGCGCTAGCATATGCCCGTAACCAACAACAACAACAACGTCTTTCCCAGTTCAATTCAGTGACCCCGTTTGTTTGAGTAGTAACACTGTGAACGTTTATTTGTGTTTTCCATATATACCTTGGTCACGTCATGCCATCTAACATCCTAGCAGCGTTGCTGGTAACTGAGTCCCTAAAGAAACAATGAGTCAAACCTTGTCCTTACAATCTGCTTGCCTGGGGTTTTCTGCTCAGCATGAAGACAGTGCCTTTCGCTACCGAAAGAATGTGTGCCTTGGGCTCTAAACCAAGACTGCTCTCCTCCTAACCTGCACGCCTGCTCCGGATGTGCTGAATGGGACGTGAAGCAGACACTTCTGCTGCTGACGGAGGGTGACACCAACAAACGGATTTCAACGTGCCACTTCTGTTGCGTGCAGTGTCCCAGAGACCGCAATGAGAAAAGGCCCACGCCAATGCCAGTCAGTGACTTGGCACTTAAAATGCATGTTTCCAGTCCTTCACATACGCCAGGGCAAGCTCCTTAAACTCTGAAGCAGCTATTGAAGCTACAACAAAAGCTCCTAGAAAACAGTGTGGATACATGAGCAGCCACACATAAACCTACAGCATGTGTCACTTCAAATGTTAAGTAAGTATCGTTTAAAATCTTTCACAGTGTCTCTGATGTAATTTTAAGGAGACCCAGTATCGAGAGATTGTTTCAAGCTCCTGTTGGGCAGTTTGCTAAAAATCACACTCCCCTACCAAGATGTAGCTGGAAAGAGAGACACCCACAAAGAGCATACGCAGCCACACTCAAGGGCTTCATTTATGACAAGCCGTGTTCTGTTATGTCAGAAGCTAAGCTTCGGATGCTGCAGCAGTTAGAAGTTACTCAGAGAACAAAATAAACACATTTAGGACGGTCCCAGTTCCTCTCCCCTTACTCTCTGACCACGCACGGATCCACCTGAGGTGGCAAGTCTACTTACGGAGTCTATTAACTGGAGTGTTTCTGCAAATTCTAAGAGATTCTTAACATTATCCAGGATGTTGCTCTGGTGAACAATCATGCACCGCGCAGGGGATGCGCTTTCCTCAGGTAAGCAACCGTGATCCACCGGCGGAGACGGAGTACAGTGGTGATGTTCCCCCAGACAGGAAACAGGTGCATTGTCACCACTGGTCCTGGTACTGTCGGCAATGGTGGTGCTGTACCAGCCGGGGTAGTTTGATGTGTGGTTCTGTGTCTAAAGGAAGAAGAAAAAAAAAAAAGGGGGGGTGGGGGGAAAGGCAGAAGGAACTTAGCAATGAAATTGCACAAGGTGTCAGATGCCACTGGAGGAAAGATAAAAGTAGTTGCATCATCATCTAAAAGCTTATGCCTATGAAACAATTGTCAAGATGTTTCCTTTCATCAGTGCAAGATCTCCTTTTAAGTAACATCGGCATTGTATTTGTCATCCCAAAGTTACCTCGTAATTTACTACCAGGATTATATGGCATATATCATTACTGACACATAATCAATTCATACTCTGTTATTCCAAAAGCTCAAAAAGTGTCTGCAAGTCATTTTCTGTGAGAAGAAAGAAACGGCAGGTTTTCCCTACTGAGCGCTCAGCACTGTAGAAGGCTAAAGGGTTTAAGATTTAGAGTTGCTTTTGTTTGCTTATCTCCTTTTCTTCTTCTATCCCTGTCTAATGCTACAGCTTACACCAATGCAATGAAGAGGCTGTCAAATCAACGTGGTTAGGAAAGCAGAAGAACAAATTAACAGAAGTTTCTTTCCAGTGTGATCATGCAACAGAAGAAATTGCAAAACATTAACTAAAGTTAAAAAGTGGCCAAACTAACGTATCATGCATGCAGTTGTTTTACTATGAATTTAAATATTACCCAAAAACAGAATCTGCTGGCTATCACCTATCTTTAAAAACGATTTGGGGATTCTTGGCTTTGGTGACGGTGTTAAGTAACTACGGGAGGGTTTTCACGCATTAACATCCAATGGCATATATAACGAAGTGTGAGAGTTCAGTAATAGCCAGCATTTGCTCCACACATGCAGTTATGAAGAATCTAACATTATTCAGAGAAGTAAAACAAACTGTCAAACATGCACCAAGTCTGAAGCTCACAAAGTGTATAAAACGCAGCTGAAGGAAAGAACACAACAGAGAAGAAAAATCTAATGTACAGGCACTACATTTTCATCACATGAACCATTGCACACTTCCAGAAATGCAGATCCCATTGATTTAAGATCTGTGGGATTTTTCGTTTTCGCACAATCATCACGTTTCCAGTATGACATCATGTTACAGAGCCCAGCCCTGCTCCCACATTGCCAAGTAAAATACCTGCAAATTGATCTTTTTTTCCCCAATAAAAGAATTTACGAAGCAAACACAGATTATATATGTGCTATGTTTCATCCTTTTAAAACGGAAATATAGAGCCTTGATTAGTATCAAAGGCAGAGGGGGAGTAAAAAGTTAAAAAGACAAGCACTGGGGTAATGCTGCTATCCCTCCATCCAAGCACACAGTGACAATCTTACTGGTAATGCCTGCTGCCCTTTCAGTTCATTCTCAGTCGACATTAGTAGCAACTCTAATTCCTTTATTCGTTTTTCTTTCTCAGGGTCTTCATCATTATAGTGTCTCTGAAATTAAGAGTTAAGGGAAAAGAAAAGATAAAGGTCTGATAGGATGTAGCAACTAAAATGCTTATGGCTTGCCGTCCTGTGGTTATAATAGCCAAATTAGACTCAAAGATGAAACAAACGTCAACTGTGTTTTCCACTACCAAAGTCCCTGCTGCATTTCAGTACAGACATTTCAAATGGAGAAAGTGAAAGCTATCACACCAGATGTCAACTACTGTGTTTTAAATCCACTTCAGAAGAAGCAATTATTAGCCATGTTACAACTCCCCCACCTTCCCCATTTTCTCTTCACCACACTTATTACATTAAAACGCTTCCTTTACGTACGACGTCTGCATTTTAACTTATCGAAGGTTTAACAAATTGACTCTTGAAATGAGGTTCAAGTTATCTACCTGAATAGCTGCAGCAGCTGGCTGAGGAACATTGACAATATTTACATGCAGTGCTACTGGATATGGGATCTGACCAGGGACCTAGGCCAAAAGAGCGAGAGACACTAAAAGTTATTATTTCTATCATATTACCTGCCTGAATTGTGAATCTGTGTTCAACATACTTTGGTTTTAGGTATTTAATATTTGTAATCTATCAAGATGAAACAGCAAAAACAACAGCTATGTTTACAAAAAAAATCAACAGTTTTTTTAGAAATATGACAGTGAACATTGCAAAGGAAGAAAGAAAATTCATATATGAAATATTTAACCTTCCTGAATGAGAAAAGATTAATAATTTATAGATGCATTTGTAAGTTTTTTCTAAATTGAAGTGAAAATGCAAAAGGTGCCATTTATTATCATCTAAAACTCTACAATGTAACTGATGAAGCAGCCTGTTTCATGATTAATCATTAACAGAAAAGGAATCGCATTAAAAGCAATACTTGTTTACTTGGTTCCGACAGGCAGCCCACAAACAGAATATTACTGAAGGGAATGTGAGAGATTTTGACACAGAACACAGAACTGACCAGATTTGACTGATTTTCGAGAAATGTAATATTCACCACTATAGGAAACAGCACTGGAAACACGTTCACTGCTCCCAAGACCTTAAAAACGGTGAACCCGATTCCACCACCCGAACGCCGGCGATCAATGTGAAACGTATGTATCTTCATCACTGAATGAAGTCAAAGCGAGAGAAGCCCTCGCAAAAACCAAACGCACACGCGCACACATCCGCAGGTGCTTACGTTTTGCGGCTCCGAGAGGTGGTAGTAGGGGTAGTCACTGCTCAGCGGGGGCTGCCCGGCTCCTGGCAGCTGCGCAGAGGGCGGGTTGTGAGCAAAGGCCATCAAGTGGTTGCCCTTCTGAAAGCCGGTGGCTGCGGAGGAGTGACAGGCTTTGGAGGACTCCTGAAGGTAGCCCTCCTGCTCAACCTTTCGGCGCATGGTGGAATTCCAGTGGTTCTTGATCGCATTATCAGTTCTGCAACAGAAATCCATATGCTTGAGGAGTTTTAAAAACGAGCGTTTCTAGTTCAGACAGATTAATGGGCAGGAAACTGCTGTTGGCATTGCTCTCTAAACCTCGAGCTGTTCCCTGACCTTCCTCCCACCCCCACCTTTACAAATGCTCTTCTGAACTTCTCAGGAAAGATGCTCAGCATAAAAGGCAGCGAAAATGACAAATAGGCTACAGTTGTTTATGTACTTTTTAAAGCAATCTCTAAGCTTTAGGTCCTCAAATTGTAATATATTAGTAACTTCAGCTGCACCTCGTTCCCAGGCTGTGAGGTGACAGCAAAGGCTAACACCCCTTTGAGGCTACCCTAAAAGACTGCCAACATCATCTTCCTAAGTCTTCATATTGCAGTGGAGTTTTATTGTCTCTCACTGCTGGAAAGAAAGACTGTGGAGAACAGCTGTGAAAAGACTCAACCTCCAAGCAACTTGCCAACTGGCCACCTAAACGGTGACAACATCACGCTGTACACGCAAATGCAGTAAACAAAGCTGTTGTGATTTTTTTCTTAACTTCAGAAAAACTGAGATTCAAATCCTCACATGAATGAGTCAGAAAACGCAGGCTTATCAAGTCTGTGAGGCTTTAGGAGCAGGCTTACAAACAGCTCCTCTATTTCTAAAACATCACCACACGGTCTCATTGGTGGTATCTGATGTGTGGAAGCTACAGAAAAACTTTCCAGGGGGTAATTCCTCTCGTGTTTCCTCCTAGAGGGTGAAAGCAGCCTAGGGAATGCGCGCTTAAAAGGATGTCACGATCTTAGGCATTATATTTACATCTTGAAGATGTTTCACCAAATAGCAGAAATAAAAATGGGAAGGGAAGCCTCTCCCTTGCTTACGTTATTTGCTTGACTACAGTTTAGGTTGGGTCCCTTTTACTGCAGAGAGAATAAGACACTGAATCTCTGAAATTACATGCAAGCTGTGCACAAGCTTTCAATGAGACAAGTGTTTCCAGGACCAGTTTGAGGAAATCAGCTTCTCCTATTTTATACATGGATTTTTAACAGGTAAGAATCATATGGATGATGCAGGAACAGTTACAAATGTTGAAGCAGCCTTCTCTTACACAATTTTGAATAAACAGACTGGATTTCATGTTGAAGGTATACCCTCAGCTGTTTGTAAATGAAATCCCACTTGCAGAGCCTGATCCTTCCCTGTTAAATCAATTTACATTTCGACAGTTACTGTGAGCACAAGCAAGATTGCAGACATTTAGGAAACTGTTACAGTCTTGCTCTAGTTATTGGGCCTTTTTACCTATGGCAAACCTTAAAAGCATGTAAAAATAGCGTATTGTTCCATGTACTGACCAAACAGCACAGTTCCCCACTGAGAAAAACGCACACCGATGTCACTGGCTTTCCAGGTTTTGATTCCAAAATTCCTTTGATTTAGAACGTGCAGCCGGAAGCAACTGAAACAGGCTGCACGGACCTGCAGCTTTTTCCTCGTTTCCAATTTAAAAACTAAAGGTTTAGGTCATTACCGTCCAGGCAGCAACTTTGCAATTTCTGCCCATCTGTTTCCCAGCCTCTTGTGTGCCTGGTAAATAATTCTATCTTCCTCTTCTGTCCAGGAGGTTTTCTTCACTTCTGGATTCAAATGGTTGTGCCACCTCTCCCTGCACTGTTTTCCAATCCTTCCCTTCAAATGCTTAGCAATGACAGACCAGCGCTTTGGACCGTATTTCTGCACGAGTTCTATTACCTTCAAAGAAGGACATAAAAACTGCCTGTATTTAATGATGCATAATGAATCAGTGACATTTTTCTGTGGTGGAGCAATATTTTCAACAACATTTCTCAAAATTGCCACGGTAAAAACTGAAACACAATTAAGGTTCCCCACTTCCCATTTATACTTTTACCCAAAAGGAAAAACCTGGTAATAGTTAAGGCATTTCTAGACTGCAATTCTACATTACAGTGCTGCAAAGCAACATTCATTAGTTTGTGTAGAGAACTCGGAAAGCGCTACACAAGTACTAGGCAAGCGATACCAACAGGATCAGTCTGCCTCTGGCCATATTTGTACTGAGACCACCGAAGTCTCTAGGAGTTTTTCCCCAACACATGCAAACCGCTAGTAAGGCATTAATCGGAAGGAAAGGAAAACTGATTACCCTTTGATCCTCCTCTTTAGTCCATGGACCTTTGATAAGTTCTGGGTTTAGTACCTTCTGCCATCGGTGCTGGCACTGAACATCTGTCCGATTCTAGTGAAATGTAAAATATGCAAAGTAGGTCATTCTTCAGACAGGACGAATGTGGAACAAAGACGCTCTTATCTAGGTATGCTTGTTCCTGATTTATTTCAACTGTGACTACTAAACAATATGGAGTGGTACAGTAGGTCTGAGAAGAAGGTGCTCAACTACCCATTTGTTGACTGAACTAGGTAAGATTTCCATCGTTCCTGCAGTGATGACTGCCTCACCAAAACTACACAAACAGAGCCATCTGTTGCAATAGCTGACGTGCTTTCGCACACAGGGCTTCTACAACAGCCCAAGTGTTTGCAATGCCATTCTCTTCTAAACCATACTTACAATTCATCAGTGCTATTTTTCATCTGCACTAACACACTGTTCCACTGTCACACTGACCATCTACTGTGCAACACCCCACCATCCCCCACTTTCACCTGTTTGCTTTTTTTCCCAACCCTTTCTGAGAAGCAAAAGGAAAATTAAAGATAAGCGTTTCCACAATATTATGACTAAATTCCTGAGGTCTCCATCCGTGGAGGTTTTACATCTCCCATCAAAATGTAGCTGTAAAGCAACCACTCCCCTCTCCCTTACTTGGAAACCTCTGATAGAGAGTTGCTACTACAACTGGAAACAGAAACCAATATCCACCTACAGGAAGGAAATTGGCAATGACTTTCCAGTCTTCTGTGCCATTCTGCTCCACAAGCTTCTTCAGTTTCTCATCCTGAATCGTTAAAAAAGCAGACATAATTAATATAGCAATCTCTTATAATGCAAATGAAATGCTTCTTTTTTTTTTTTTTTTTTTAAAGCCTCCTTCCAGGCTTCCATGTTTTTTATACATCTATTTCTATGTCCTGAGAGTAATGGGAGGTGATCTGTACCCTCCTCATATTTTTAATTGCCTAAGTCTTGAGATTTTTCTACTCTTGTGGATTTTGGTAGGTTCTTTAACCTGCTGCGGGAGAAAGACTGACTTTTTCCGTGCTGCTATTTGCCTTGTATTATATATACCTATGCCCATTTTACTGCTCAGACCAACGTAGCTGTTAATTCTTGTAATGGTTTTACAGAAGGGCATGGATGTTTGGATGCCAGTCATCGGAATAACAATGAAATTTGGTAACACTCAGGCACCCAGCTGCTTGGGGCCCTCTGAAAATCACAGCCATAAGCTTTATGTGTCTTGCAAGTAATGGGAGTTCCCATAATTTGCTTGTTGCCTATCAGTGTACAACGAATGCACAATAAAACTAATGGCTCCTTTTTGCTCCTGCTCACTGTGAGGGAGTTTTGCATACTCGCATTAGCAAGAAATTTGGCCCAGTATTTTTAATGATAAGGCCAGAAATACAGACCCTAAAGACAAAAGAAACCAATCTCATGCACTGGGAAACATCGAGATACTGTAAGACAAGTGAGAGCTGCCCCAAGAGATAAGGGGAGAGGAGCAAACCTCCCCTCCCCGATTAGTGCCTCTCAGTATGCTCCCAGTTCATGTGACAGGAAAGTGGCCATTGGGCTCCACGGCCATCCCTTCCTCCCAGGCCGCATCACAACCACATCCACCTCTGTAAGAGCAGACTATGATTTTAAAAAAATTAAAAAAAGCTTGCAAGAGGTGACCTGCCACTGTTTATATATCAATAGACATGGTTAGAGAGGAGAAAGTCAAAACATGACTGAGAACTGTACTAATGTATTTCACAATAAACTCAACCCAGTTAAATGGCCACAGGATATCCACCTGGCAAAGGAGTTTGATACCACAATTTATCTGGAAAGCCAGTGCAAGGGTATCGTGTAACCTTCAAAACCAAAATGCTGCTTGAATGCTCAATTTCAGTACTGCTGGATTTCTTTCTTCCAGCTTTTAATTTATTTCCACTCAGACTCATAATGCTGCAATTAAAGTGCAAATTTCAAAAGGCACAAAAGGACTGCAGCAGTTTCTGCCACAGTTGTTGGCTGCTGTGGGACACTGAACACACGTCAATTCTCACATAGCAACCGATTTCAAACAAAAAGAGGCAGCGGTGACAATCAAGCATTGCTGCAGGTGACTCTTAATCTCTTTCTCCAACAGGGATTACACGGGGACTTGCATACCTGTTACGTAGACCTTGGTGCACATAAAAAAAAATTGTGTTTATACATTGTATTTGTAAGAGAAGAATGACTCTAAAAGTTACATAAAACACTGAACGTAGCTAAAGGGTCGAAAACTTTTTTCTCATTCATACACACGCAGCTGTCACTGAAGTTAGTTTGCAGACAAACGACTCGGAGAAGAACGTGATCCATGCTCTCTCTGTCTACTTGCGTGCAGGAGGTGAATGAACTCAGATTTACCTCTTCACGGGTCCACCTGGTTTTTCCCAAGTGACGTTTTCCAGTCTTAGGAAGCAGACCATCATAATCGTGATCATACATCTCAACATCATCTTCATCTTCATCACTACTGTATATGCTGCAGAAGGAAGCACAGCGAGACACAGAGCGGAACGTGAGGACTCGAGCTACTTAATTACAAAGCACAGAAAGCTCACTACAATCCTTACAAAGGTTACACAGATAAAAGTTTTAAAACTTGCACAACAAGATTTTGTTCTGCATTCTGTTGTTCTAGTATTCTGAACTGGTTCTGCTGTTTTTGGTATCCACAGATACAAGCAAAGGGCTGGCAACCTTCGTATTACTGTGCATGTTTAGACCTGCTCTTACTGTTGGATCAGTGGTGAATTACACATTTGGCAAACTTTCAACCAGTGAAGGTTTCAAATTAAAACACAATGTTTGGGACAATAAAGAGAACGAGAGGCTGTGTCCATTACACAAGCGCATGTTCAAAATCTTTAACTCGTGCCATGCATTCTGAAAGATAATAGAGCAGATAGTTATATCCTTCCCAAATAAAACCGGCTGTGTATAAATACAAAAAGTTAACCAATAATAATAATCGTGTTTGAGAACACAGTTATGGACCCTATACGTGAAGGCAGAAGTTTCTGTAATTAAGGAAAGCCAGTAAGAGGTAGCATTAACATGCAATAAGCTGTAATATAAAATGTGCCTGCCATTTATAGGTCTAGGTGGACAAGGACTGAGGACAAGTCTATTTAATATCCTGTAACCAACAAATGAATGATTGAACCCTTTTATACTGCCCATTTCTCCAACTTCAGACTTTATTACCTCTACTCCATTTCTAAATACCTCATGCTGTTTTTGAAATACTCTGCTACTCACCTAATTCATGACTAAGGGATTTCCCCAGAGGCTATCCATGGGTAGAAAGGACTCGATTACTCTTTTCACAAACAGCACTTGCTCTACCCAGTTAACTAAAAGGGAGTGTTTTGCTACAAGCGCCGTCCTTCTGGTGGGCAGTATTTTCTTTCCAACTTTTAGGGTACGAGCAGCAGTTCTGACACTTCAGCTCAGAGGTGATAACCGCGGGTGTGACAAAGGAGACATTGCCACGCTACGAGACTGAAAACCGTGAGGTATCTGACGGTACGGTATGCTGTGGTATGCCCAGGTGTGACTAAGACAGTAAAGCTATTTTGTAATAAAAGTATCAGTCGCTGTTTATCCCGTTAGGTTGTTTTCAGGAGATGGCTTTTTGATTCGAGCCGCAGTGGAGCACAAGAGGCTGGCAGGATGCGCTCACCTCCCGGATGTGCTGACCTCCCAGATGCGATGTGCGCCCCTCCCAGATGCGCGCACCTCCCAGATGCGAGCTGCTGAACACGTATTCTTTCAAAGCGCACGGGGCTCATCACACCTCGCATCTTCAACCCTCTTTTCTGGCCCGTGGCATGTGCCACGCCAACCCTGCTACACGCTTTTCCGCAGCCTGCCCGCGGGCCTTCCCCGCACCCCAGACGGGTGGCCCCTCACCCACGCACCC